ATTATATATATATGTGTGTGTGTGTATTAATATATATATATAATTGATTTCAGAGAGGAGGGAGAGAGAGAGAAACATCAATGATGAGAGGGCATCAATGATTGGCTGCCTCTTGCATGCACCCTCCTGGGGATTGAGCCCACAACCCAGGCATGTGCGCTTGACTGGAATCGAACCCGGGACCCTTCAGTCCACAGACCAATGTTCCATCTACTGAGCCAAACCATCTAGGGCAGTGGTTGGCAAACCGCGGTTCATGAACCACATGCGGCTTTTTGGCCCCTTGAATGTTCTAACGCCACTTCTTCAAAATAGACGCGCCCAGGCCGAAAAACGGCTTCTGCGCATGGGCCACAAAGTTTCCATCGCTCTGTACCTGCACGCCCGCACGTGGTATTTTGTGGAAGAGCCACACTCCAGGGGCCGAAGAGCCGCCTGTGGCTCACGAGCCAAGGTTTGCCGACCACCGATCTAGGGCATGAGCATGTCTACTTTTAAATGGCATTTACCAATATATGCAAACCCCCCCCACCTGTAACTTCAGCAAAATTTCTTAAGAAGAAGCAAAAGCCGGAATATGTATGTATATATTTTAAAAACACAGAGCTAGTCAAGGAGTGCAGATATGTCATGTTCCTTCCAGTAAACACTGTTCTCTAAAACTCTTAAGCCAGGAGCAGAGGAACATGAAGCATTCCTTAGGAGAGCTTCGTGTCTCCTTGCAGGAGAGTCTTTTCCCAGGCAGAAGGATCAGCCTGAGTAGTATTTACTGAGTGCTGCTAGGTGTAGACGGAAATAACTGGGCTGAGAATCTCACTTGGACAAAAATCTCACCTTGGACAAAGTCTTTCCCTTCATGGAGCCCGTGCAGGAAATAGCTGGTACCCCACTACTCAAACAAAGGATGCAAATCCCCAGCAGAGAAAAAGCAGCAGAGAGTAAAGGGATGGTGAATGACTGGGAATGGGAGGCCCAGAACTAAGGACGGTGTCCATGACCCTTCTCTCTGAAGAGGCGGTGATGGATGGAGACTGAGCCATCAGAAGGCTTCGGGTCTGGGGGGACAGCAATGGAGAGCATCTGGTGTGTTCAAGGAGAGGGGACACTTTCAGGGGAGCTGCTTGAGCGAGCGGCAGGTGGCAGAGACAGGGCGGGGAGGAAGAAGGCATGGGCCTGAGGGTCATGGTAAGGAGGGAAGAAGCAGGAACGTAGGAAATCTCCTGATTCTCACGTGGCTGCTAAGGGGAGCCTGGGTTCTAGAGTTAATAGAGGAAGTCAGTCGGGAGGCCTGCGAGCAGACGAAGACGGCATTGGTTATGACTCGCTCTAGAAGGCTGGCCGTGGGGGTGGAGAGAAGCGGAGAGATTGTGATCTGATCATGAAGTTGCCTGCATTTCACCCCACCTCAGCCGTATGGTAGCCACCAGCTACTTGTGGCTATTTACCTCTACATTTAAATCAGTCGAAAGGGAAAATCCTCTTCCTTCTTCCCACAAGCCACATTTCAGGCGCTCAGTAGCCACTCTCAAGCTGCTCTGTGGGGCGGCACAGGACACGCCATCGCTGCCGGAGGTTCTGTTGCGTGGTGATGACTCCCTGCTATGGGCCTATGGTCTGTTAGTTCTAAATGCCTCATCCCCTCTCTTGGAAGGGCAACCAAACTGCCATAAACGTCATTTACTGCACATCCTGTTAAGAGCGGAGAGTGGCCCTGACCAATTTGGCTCAGTGGATAGAGCGCCAGCCTGCGGACTGAAGGGTCCCAGGTTTGATTCCGGTCGAGGGCATGTACCTTGGTTGTGGACACATCCCCGGTAGGGGGTGTGCAAGAGGCAGCTGATCAGTGTTTCTCTCTCATTGATGTTCCTCTCTATCCCTCTCTCTTCCTCTCTGTAAAAAAATCAATAAAAATTTTTAAAAAGTTGAACTATCTTAAAAAGAGAGAGAGAGAGAGAGAGAGAGCTGAGAGTGGAGGGAAATGTTGTCCTGAAGAAGTTCATAGCTTCATAAGTTCATAACCAAGACCTGAGAAGACGTAACCCTGAGTTTGGGGCAAGTTAGAGGGAAGGTGAGAGACATGCCCACTGGAGAGCTGTTCGGCTGAGTCAGGAGGCAGAGTCCACATGGCAGCCAAAGCCTCAAAATGGGCCACAGGTGATGGTTTGGGGGAAGAAAAGAATAACCAGAACAGATCTTGTAGTGTCCAGAATTAAGGAAGTAATTAAGAGAAAGATAATATCAACTTCGATCAATAACTAGGAGCCACCGTTTGCCGTTATACCTGTCAGTCACAGTGCAGTCCGGGAGGCGGGGCCACTAGGAATGTTCACTAGGAGTAGGCCTTACAGGTATAGGAGGAGCTGGTAAGTGGTGGGACTAAGCCTGGAACCCGGCAAGGAAGTTCAGAGGAGCTGGAATAAAGGGGCTGAAAAAAATACTCAAAGCTGAGCAACTGAGTCACTCTAAGGTGAGTGACCGCAGCTGTGACATGGAGCATGCTGGGGATCGGGGCTCGGCAGGTGACAGCCATGGCCGAGCCCCCCCAGGATTTCTCCCCCAATGTACAGGTGTTCCTCGTTTACAATAAGCCCATCGTAAGTGGAAAGTGCATTGAATACACCTCACCTACCGAGCATCATATCTTAGCCTAGCCCAGTGGTCGGTAAACTGCGGCTCAAGAGCCACATGCGGCTCTTTGGCCCCTTGAGTGTGGCTCTTCCACAAAATACCATGTGTGGGCGCTCAGGTACAGTGCGATGGAAACTTCTTGGCCCACGTGCAGAAGTCGGTTTTCGGCCTGGGTGAGTCCAAAAAGTGGTTCTAACACCAAGCCACACTCAAGGGGCCAAAGAGCCGCATGTGGCTCTCGAGCCGTGGTTTGTCGACCACTGGCCTAGCCTACTTTGGGCAAAATCATCTAACACAAAGCCTATTTTATCATAATATCTTGGGTAACTTATGATACGGATCGCTTTTGCACAGTTCGAAAAGTCGTATTTTGGGATCGTCTGGGTATTTGGGTCACGGTGGGGAATGATTTATTTCCTTCCTCCCTCTCTCCCTCCCTTCCTCCCTCCCTTCCTTCCTTCCTTCCTTCCTCCCTCCCTCCTTCCCTCCCTCCTTTCCTTCCTTCCTTCTTCCCTCCCTCCCTCCCTTCCTTACTTCCTCCCTCCCTCCCTCCCTCCTCCCACATATCCTCTCTCTCCTGTATGTGATCTCCCCTCCTCTGCCCTTTCTTCGTGGCAGAAGGTTCCATCTGTCCAGCCACCTGGGAAGGCCTGGCACCTGCGGGGAGGCTGCGGCCACCCCCAAACACCAGCCCTCCTGGGAGCGGTTCTTTTCTGCTCCCAGATTTGAAGCGGAAGCGGCTTCTCCTACTCCCAGACGTGTCTCTGCAGCTCGTAGGGCCCCCTCTGCTCCTTGAAGCACACATGCCCCTCTCACTTGACGCTGGTGTGAAAACCATCCAAACCCTGCAGTCAGCACCCTACTGGGCGGGCCCGTCTCTCCCTCCATGAGCCCCTCATCCTTGGGGGGGGGAGGGGGAGTTTGTTTTTTGTTGTGTTTTTATATATATATATGTTTTTTCTTTTTAATTATTTCAGAGAGGAAGGGAGAGAGAGGTAGAAACATCAATGATGAGAGAGAATCGTTGATCGGCTGCCTCCTGTATACCCCTTACTGGGAATCAAGCCCACACCCCAGGTATTGTTATTGTTGTGGAGCGAAGGCAAGTGAATGACCACTGGAGCCCAGGCCAAATTTATAAATCTATAATTATATATTATTGATTTCAGAGAGGAGAGGAGAGGGACTCTGCCATTCTCCACGCTGTTGGCAGTAAGGGAGTCCGGAGAGCAGCAGCGACCCTTTGAGCAAGACCACTTTTAAGCACATTAACCACATCCTGTTTTTGCAGAACAAGCAACGAAGACAAAACAGTTTTTTCCAAGCAACGTCAGAGTCACGCCATTGACCATTGACCATGTTGTTCACGGGGCCAGCCTGTTCTTCAGAAAGCTGGCAGTGTTCTGTGAAAGAACACCCACATGCTGGGAAGGGGCCGTGAGACCGTATCTCACAGCCTGGCCTGGTGTCAGCTCTGACAACTCTATCTGGAAGCATGCTTAAAAATTCCCTCTCTCACCAAAACCGGTTTGGCTCAGTGGATAGAGCATCAGCCTGCGGACTGAGGGGTCCTGCGTTCGATTCCGGTCAAGGGCATGTACCTTGGTTGTGGGCACGTCCCTGGTGGGGGGCATGCAGGAGGCAGCTGATTGATGTTTCAAACTCTCTATCCCTCTGTCTTCCTCCCTATAAAAAAATCAATAAAATATGTATTTTTAAAAATAACTTTAAAAAATACCACTCTCCAACAGTATGTGCTCTGACCAGAATCACACTCTGACCTTCAGGTTCATAGGGCAACACTCAACCACTGAGCCACGCCGGGGCGGGGAAGGGGTGCTTGGGGACAGCTCCTAGGACCTGTGTGTTCCCAGGCCGCAGGCCTGTGGTCAACACCCGCCTCTAGAAGCAGAGGACATGGAAGGAAAGCTCACCTGCCGGGGGCCGCTCGGCGTTCTCTGTGTGCAGATGAGAGGAGTCGGGAGAGGCTGGTGTGGAGAGACAGGCGGGCAGTCAGGCCTCCAGGGCCCAGGACGAAATGCAGAAACTTGGCGAAATGCCCCCGTGTGGCCCAGCACTGAGGAGTGGCGGGGACGAATGTGCATTTTCCTGGAGCAGGAGTGGCTCTTTGGGGCAACTTGTCATCTCGCCCACGCAGCCCCTGCCCTGTGTGGCCGGTCACCCCAGCGGAGTGCGGGGACCCAGGCTGGCCTGGCCTGGGGGTCAGGCCCGGGCTGTGAGGCCTGGGCTGTGGAGGGCGAGCCCTGCGGCCTGCCGACTAGCCCACGTGCCGGCCCACGTGCATGGAGGCGCTCCTGTTTCCAGGATCCGGGCAGCTGGAGTTAATGGTTTCTCTTTGTCTCTCTCTCCAGGGCCAGGTGTGGATTAATGGCTTTAACCTCGGTCGCTACTGGCCGGCCCGGGGCCCCCAGATGACCTTGTTTGTGCCCCAGCACATCCTGGTGACCTCGGCCCCAAACACCATCGTGGTGCTGGAACTGGAGCGGGCGCCCTGCGGGGACGAGCCCCTCGGACCGTGCACCGTGGAGTTCGTGGACACGCCGGTGATCAGTGCTCCTGTGGCCCGCAGCCGTCACAGGCACAATCCAGTGTCTGATGACCCAGGCCTGACCCACATGAGCCATGGCGACGCTCGCCACAGTGCCTGATTGGGAAACAGATCCTGCTTGTGCGTGTCCACCGAGGTTTCCCTGCAGCCTTGCAGTGACCGCCCCCCTCCCCCCCTTGCCAAGGGCCTCCGTGTAACTGCAGAGTTGGAAAATGGAAGCTTTCGAGTGTTTCTGATTTTTTTACTTTGGAAGAATCATGCCTTTTTGTTAAATAAAATTTGCATTCCTGATGTGACTGTTCTTGACGCTGGGCAGGCGTTAAATGACGGGTTCTGATCTGAATCGTAACTAGACTTGAGTGGGCTGGAGAAGCCACTTCACTCACTGGCGGTTCAAAGGCATGGAAAATCGTCTTGGTTTGATCTAGTGGACTGCTGCTTCTCGGGTCCCCACTCAAAGGTTGATCTCGTTTTGTGTGTTTAGAGGTAGTGGTTGCACCTTATCCACACACTAACATGGGCCTGTAGATGTCTGTAGACATGCATACACATGAGTGCATGGGATATGTACACACACAGATGTGCAGGGACAAGATGTTGTGTAATCTCTGTGTCCTGCCCAGCTCGGTAGGTCTCTATTACTGAGCACTGTACTATTCTTTTTTTTTTTTTTTTTTGAAAACATATTTTATTGATTTTTTTTTACAGAGAGGAAGGGAGAGAGATAGAGAGCTAGAAATATCGATGAGAGAGAAACATTGACCAGCTGCCTCTTGCACACCCCCTACCGGGGATGTGCCCGCAACCAATATATATGCCCTTGACCGGAATCAAACCTGGGACCTTTCAGTCCGCAGACCGACTGAGCACTATACTATACTATTCCATGCCCAGTTCTGGGCAGAGAGAGAGAGAGAGAGAGAGCGCTAATATGCAGAGTGTCCCCATGGGAGTTCGACCATAAGAACGGGAGTTCAATCACTTGCTAGCTATGATGTGTGCTGACCAGCATGGGGCGGTGCGAAATGAAGGAATGCCCTGGCCAGCAGCTAGAAGGCCCCAATCAACTCTGATCGCCGGCCAGGCCGAGGGAGCCTACTTGTGCATGAATTTCATGCACTGGTCTCTAGTATTATATATTTAATTCACTCGACCCTCACAAAAACTCTGAGGAATGTACTGTCTTCCCAGATTTGTCAGGACACACAGAGAAAAGGTTTGAACCCAGATTGTTTGGTTCCAGTGTCCAGACATGCACTGCATACATGATAGATCCACACAGGCTTATGTTCCCATAGGAAAGGATTGGAACAACATAAAAATGTTAACACAATCCTAGCTGGGTGCTGCTTGAGAGATTGCTCGCCGTTTCTTTTTCGCTTACCTGTGTTTTAAATCCTTTACAGAGAAGATGCACTTTTTTTTAAGGGAGGGAGAGAGGAATGGTTCTGAGGCTAATCAACAACTTTCATGACGGCACGGTTTCCCTGCCTCATGGCCGTCAGTAACGAAGACCTGGGGGTCAATGGGGGGTCTGGGAACTGGGGGCGCCAGCTCAGCAGCTGAGACACACTGAGACTGCCACTTGATGAAGGGCTGTCTTCCCCAGCATCTGGGTGAAGGAGGCGCCATATGGACCCAGCCCTCGTTTTGTTCCTCTTCCTTCCACTGCTAAGTTACCAGAAATGTGTCAAGTGATGATGCTTAAGAACTATGTGCAGTAATGGCTTTGGAAAGAAAGAGATGGTTCCTTTTAAAGCATTAAGTATGGCCCTAGCTGGTTTGGCTCAGTGGATAGAGCATCGGCCTGTGGACTGAAGGGTCCCAGGTTCAATCCCGGTCAAAGGCATGTACATTGGTTGAGAGCACATCCCCAGTAGGGGATGTACAGGAGGCATCTGATCGATGTTTCTCTCTCACCAATGTTTCTACCTCTCTATCCCTCTCCCTTCCTCTCTGTAAAAAATCAATAAGATATATATATATATTTAAATGTTTTTATTGATTTTTAGAGAGAGAGGAAGGGAGAAGTAGAGAGGGAAACATCAATGTGAGAAACATCGATGGGCTGCCTCCTGCACAATTGCACCCTGAAGGGATTGAGCCTGAAACCTAGTTATGTGCCCTGATCAGGAATTGAACCAGGAACCTTTCGGTGCACAGAAGGATGCTCAATCACTGAGCCACACTGGCCGGACTGTACGTTTAACTTTTGAAGAAACTGCTGAACAATTTCAGAACATCTTTTCTGAGGAAAGAAAGAGCGGCAGAGTGGCTGCCAGCAGAGCCCGCTCCATTCCTCTCTCTTCCCTGCCCTGCCTCAGGCTGTTCATGGCCTCTCTCTCTTTTTGTCTCTGTGTGTTGATTTTTGTTTCTCAGCAAGTCCAGCTTATTCAGAATGAAATTGTTTACCACTAATCAGAGTTTGGGTGTGTGTGTGTTTTTTTTCATTGTTTCCCCCAACAAGCAATGTTTGTCAGATGACATCACTAGGAAACGATCTTGTATGTCCTTTGTTTTCTTGCCTTAGGAGAGAGAAGAAAAAAAAAAGTCATTTTCTGAAATCACTCTTTTAGTCAGTGTGAGGGGTTCTGTCTGGTCTGTGGCAGAGCAGACAGCTAGCGGAGACAAATAGCACGTGGGCTGAGCAGGAATTCCGGTCAGTGTCCAGGTCATGGCCATAGGTGGTTCTGGGTATAAACCATGCCCTTGTTCTCTGTCTGACTGAGCATTTCTTCCCGGGCTGTCCCTTGCCTCCCAGCCGTCTGGCCCCGAGGTGTGTTAACTGGACACAGCAGCCATCTGGTCGTCTGTGAGCACCCAGTGAAGATCCTCCGCTGATTACCCACTGACAGCTGCTCTACTTACTCTCCAAGGGGATTTCCCACGGGTGAGGAAGCCTCCCACAGCTTCAGTCCTCTCGACTCCCCAGCCAGCAGCCTTGTGTCCCCACGTGAAACAGGACAGACTTGGGGACAGAAGCAGGCTCCTGCTCCTGCTCCATCACCTATCATTGGCATCATCTTGAGTAAATGGCTCACTTATAAGCCTCCATTTCCTCATTTCCTCATTTCCTAAGTGTGGGTTTTTTGTTTGTTTGTTTTTTACAGAAAGGAAGGGTGAGGGATAGAGAGTTAGAAACATTGATGAGAGAGAAACATCGATCAGTTGCCTCCTGCAGACCCCCCTACTGGGGATGTGCCTGCAACCAAGGCACATGTCCTTGACCGGAATCGAACCCGGGACCCTTCAGTCCACAGGCGATGCTCTATCTACTGAGCCAAACCAGTTTCGGCCTTAAGTGCGGGTTTTTAAAAAATCAAATACAGGAATCATGGAAGCACCTCCCTTAGCCACGCAGTAGGTGCTTTCTGGATGCTAGTGTGATACTTCCCTGTCACAGTCCTCCACTGAAGCAGGTGAGGGGTCGTGGGAGAACTGAGGGACGAAGGGAGAAGGAATACCACTCAGGCACACCGTCATTTTCCCCTATCCCTTTCTGTGCAGTTCAACAACGTGGGTCTTCTGCTGGCCAGCCACTGTGCAGGGCTGAGGACGCAATGTGAAGGAGACAGTCTGCTGTGAAACATGGACACAGACTGGGAGATGGAAGAGGAGGTGCCTTCGAAAAGTGGGAAGCTGCGATCAGAAAAAAAGGAGTGCCAGCTGGCGTGGCTCAGTGGTTGACCATCAACCTATAAACCAGGAGGTCACGGTTTGATTCCCTATCAGGGCATAGGCCCTGGTTGTGGGCTCAATCCCCAGTGTGGGGGGTGCAGGAGGCAGCCCATCAATGATTCTCTCTCATCATTGATGCTTCTATCCCTCCCTGAAATATATATATATATATATATATATATATATATATATATATATATATATATATATTTTTTTTTTTTTTTTTTAAAGAACCAGCTCTAGCCAGTTTGGCTCAGTGGATAGAGCATCAGCCTGTGGGATAAAGGGTCCCAGGTTCGATTCCTGTCAAGGGCACATGCCCAGGTTGTGGGCTTGATCCCCAGTTGGAGGCATGAAGGAGGCAGCTGATCAATGATTCTCTCTCATCATTGATGTTCTATCTCTCTCTCCCTCTCCCTTGCTTTCTGAAATCAATAAAAATATATTTAAAAAATAAATTTAAAAAAGACCAACACAGGCTTTGGATATTAGCATTATGATATACTTTAAATATTCTACAATATTTAAAGGCAAATAAATAACCTTGAAAATATCTTTAGGGATATGAAACTCTATGATGAGACATAACCAATTTACAAAAGAACTAAACAGAACTTCTGAACTGCAAAATAAAGTAACCAAATTTTAAAACTCAAGGTAGGGTTTGGATGCTGGTAAGACATAGTAGAAGAGAAATGGGTTGGAACATAGACCCAAAGAAATAATAGAGAATGTAGCATAGTGGGGAGTAGAGACATGGGAGATAGAGAGAACAGGTCTAACATATTCCAAAAGGAGAAGATAGAGAGAATGCAGCAGAGGTAGTATTTGGAGAGAGAATGGATGAGAATTTTCTAGAATCAACATAAAGTACCAGTCCATAGAATCAAGACGCCCAACAAATCCCACACATTTAAATTACATAGAAGTTTCTATCTAGACATATCATAGTAAAACTGGAGAACACCAGCAACAAATAGTAGCATATCAAAAGTTGTCAGAGAATAAAGATTATCTTCTGGGGAATGGCAATAGACAGAAAGAGGAATTCTCAAAAGTAAAAATAAAAGGCCAAAGATTATAGAATAATATCTTCAATGTACTGAATTCTGACAATCTAGAATTCTATACCCAATAAAGTAATCTCTCAACAACGTTGGCAAAATTAAGACATTTTCTGAAAAGTATAAACAGAGACTATTGCTAAAAAATAGCCCACTGGCATTGCTCAGAGGTTGAACGAGGAGGTCATGGTTTGATTGCCAGTCAAGGCACATGTTGTGGGCTCAATCCCCAGTGTGTCTCTTATCATTGATGTTTTTATCTCTTTCTCCCTCTCACTTCCTCTGTGAAATATATATATACACACA